AAGTAGAAAACTGGGCAGTACAATTGAGTAGTGGTTCTGCTTCCTCATAGAAATTTAGCAAATGTAGAAATTTAGCATGTAGCAAATTAATAGTTGGTAATGGGAAAGGATGCTCTTAGGAAGTACGTAAAAATAGTAGTCTTAGGAGTCCTGGGTTTTAATTCTGACCCAGCCACACAAGTTTAAGGAAGTTATCTACCATAAACTTTATTTTGCTTCACCTGTCAAATTGAGATAGCAGTGTCTCCTGGGTGTTTTATGCACATTCTTATGCATTGGTGGTAGTGAGGTCCTGCCTCCTTCTCTCTTTCCTCCCCTCCTTCCCTCATAAGACACTTTAATGATAAGTATTCTACACCAGGATCAACATTTTAAAAGTGGTTCATATGATAGCACCAGTTTAGATAACATTTTAAAATACCTGGCACCATGCAAGGCACAGCGAAAGTGAACAGTAAATGTTGGTTCTTTTCCCTCTGGTTGGAATCTTTAGGCCAATTCCATATTTAATTCCAAGTCTTCCTTGAGATTCTTAGAGCTGTATATTCTTGTTAATGGAGTACATTCCTGCCTTCTCTTAGACTGTAAACTCTTAAGAGTGTTTTTCCTATGACATTTGTCATAATGATTTATTCATAGCTTGTGTTCTATAAATGCTTGTTTAAAATTCAGCATCCATTTAAGTGCCTATTATGTGCAGTGCATGAAGTTAAACACAGAAAACAAAGTAAAATGGAAAGGCATATTCTAGCTGTACAGTGGGAAAATGTTGCTCACTTTTAAAGAGGTGAAGGTTATATTTAATAAGATGGATTTGCGTTTATGAAAATAAAAGATGTTGACACCCGAAATATAATAAAATAAATATGGAAAGGAATGTTTAAAAAGCAGAAAAAAATATGTCTGATAAAAATCTTTCTATGCAAAATAGACGAAGATTTGATAGAAATGTATTTGGGCCATAACAGGACTCTGCTTGATAGTTGGAGGAGAGAAACATTCACACATGAAGAAATATTAATAGAACACCTTTATGAAGAACATAGTTTTTCTAGTAATTAATGTAGCTCAGGCATCTCCAAACTACATTTATTCCATAAGAGACTTATACAAGAAATGTATAATGTGGTGCCAAAAAAACATTAAAACAAAATCATGCGCAAATGCAGTACAAATGAAAACAACAACAAAAGCAGGTTATAATCCATTGTTTCCAAGCCTTTTTACTTCCATGCCAGCTTTTCTAAATTGACTTTATTTTTAAGAGCAATGTTAGTGTCACAGCAAAATTGAGCGGCAGTTACAGAGGTTTTCCATATATAACCCCTGCCTGCCTTGGTGTAGACACAGTCTCCCACCGTGAAAATGCTGCCCGGGAGGGTGCATCTGCTGCAGCCAGTGAACCTGCACTGACACATCATCACCCAAAGTCCATCGTTTACATTTGGGCTCAGTCTTGCTGGTGTAGATTCTGTGGATTTTGACAAATGTGTAATAACATGTATTCATCATTACAGTATCGTGTAGAGTAGTTTCCTTGCCCTAAAAATGCTCTATGCACGGCCTATTCATCCCTCTGTCCGCCATAACCCATGACAATCACTGATATTATTTTACTATCTCCATAGTTTCACTTTTTCCAGAATGTCATGTACTTGGAATCATACATATGTAACCTCTAGAGATTTGCTTTTTTTTTTTTTTTTCCACTCAAGATTCCTCCCTGTCTTTTCATGGCTTGAGAGTTTATTTCTTCTTAGCGCTAAGTAATATTCCATTGTTTGGCTGTAACACAAATTTTCTGTTCACCTTCTGAAGGACATCTTGGTTGCTTCCACGTTTTGGCAATTATGAATAAAGCTGCTATAAACATTCGCTGAGCAGGTGTTTGTTCCTTGCCAGTCACTTAACCTCTCTGGGTCTGAGTCTCCTCATTTGTAAATGTATCTGATGCGTGCTAAGGATGCTGAGGTAGAAATTATGTGGTTATATAGATTAAAAAATCATGGAATACTGTTTTACAAATTATGAATAACTCAGGTATGCCCGTCTGCTGATGACATTTTAAGTTGGTAAAGCCTTTCTGGCAGAAAGCAGTTTGGTCCTATCTAACACAAATTATAATCTGTTCTTACTCTTTGATCAGATCATTCTACTTTGGGGGCAGACTTCAAGTGGAGGTTAAAAATAACATCTTTTATTTATATAAAGCTTTCCATAGGGTAATTTGTAAAAGCCAATCAACACTACAAAACACTGCAAATACCCAGTAATTTGCGCGAGGCAGGGATCATGACTGTCTTTTCTGATCAATGTGTCCCCAGCACCTTGCTCACGGTGGTGGTCTAAATGTTTGTTAACTGTGAAAAGATTGAAAAGAGAACTTAAGGGAAAGAGAAGAGCTTTTACTGAATATTAAAGATTCTAGGAGATGACATTCTGTCTTCCCTTTGTGCTTTGCATCTCCCATGGCTAAACTCAGCTGTGCCAGCTCTTTCCTGCTGGGTCTCCCTTGTCCCCCTTACTGATGCCAGTCAAGGCCTTAGGCATGTGACGTAACTGCCATGAGAGATTGGCTTCTCACCTGGAAAAATATGTCAGTGTGGTTATAAAGGAGTTAAAGCAGGAATAGACTGGGTGTCCCGACTTTGCCAGGGTAGTCTCAGTTTATGCCTATGACTCAGTGTAAATCTCAGTAGCATCTCCTTTCACTCTCAAAGGTATTCTGGTCCAGGCAGGTCACCATTTAGCCGAGGGTCTTCCTTTCTTTTTACTTTAGCGCTATAGTTGGGAAACATTTTCTTGTTTTAATTTTTGTGTGTGTGTGTTTTTTAGTTCAGTTTACTTTAAGGAACATTTATTTAACACAATAGATGCAAGACGTGAAATATAAGGAAAATTGAGACAAGACACTACTACCAAGGAATTTCACTTAAATGCTTTTTCCCCTTTACTTTATTTTGGTAACTCATAGCCTCATTTGGAGTCAGAAGTGCTGCTAGACTCAAGTTCCTGTTCTGACTTCATCCATTTACAAGACCCCTTTCTGGCTGCCTCTGGCTGCCTGCTCCCCTATTCTGTGGAACTTCAGGGAATATACCCATCTAAGAACCTGTGCCCCACCATGAGGCACTCTGGGTCTTAAGGTAATGGAATTCCTTGCCCAAACACTTTTGAGCCTGCTTCCAGGGCCTGTGCGGACCTCCTCCCTTGGACGCACGCACACAAGATCCCTCACAGTGCAGGTGAGCCAGGGAAGGGAGGAGAAGGGAGTGGACAGCAGGCCAGTGGCAGGAGCTGGGGTAGGCTCCCCACAACCTTAGACGTTACAAAATTCAAGAATTCTAATTTTGGGACCTGGCCTTCAGGGTCATTTTGAAAGTGTGGGAGAATAGAACATATTTTATGTAGTACTTCATTAGCTTGACTTACAGCTGTTAGATATTTAAACGTATGGTATCTGAGCCTCTATCTGCATTCTTGCCATGGACCCCACAGTTACCTGGGGCAGGCCTGCTCAGAGTAAAACCTACCATCTTTACCATGCCCTAACAGACCCTACATTATCTGCTCCTACCTGCTAGATCCCTTCTGCCCCAGCTGTACCAGCTCCCTCCCTGTTCCCAGCACTCAGGCATCTCCCATCCAGTGCACATCCTTGGGCTCCCCGCTGCTGTTGCCGCAGCCACTGCCTGCCGGGGCACTCCTTTCCTAGGTACCGCATGGCCTGGTCTGTCATGGCCTCATGCCCTCAGGTCTTTCCCCCTCTTCTCAATGTCATGAGAGCTTGCCTGGCCAGTCTTTCTAAGACCTTGTTACTCCCCCAAGCACTGACTGCCCCTCCCTGCTTTATTTACTTCCCGTAACACGCATCACTATAAAAAAGTTAGAGGTAATGCTTATAAAATGAAACTAGTTTTTTTTTACCCTAAATATGTTTCTTTTAAAATGCTTTAGATATTAAGACATCCCCCCCCCTTTTTTTTAGTTTTTATGTCTTACAGTCATCCATGGACCTAATTTAAAGAATCACATAGTTTTCTAAGGCTAGTTCCTTAAAGCACAGCCCTCCTACCCTGCCTTCAGTTTCAACTTTCTTAAAGTATTCTTTTTATATTTCCTATCATCCTACATAGCACTACTTCCTAACTTTCCATTTCAGGCATCATCCGTTTCCCTTTCCCCAGAGGATGAGCATCAAGCCCCCCCCCCCCCCCCCCCCCCCCCCCCCCCCC